AAAAATGTATTTTAAATAACCATATAATGTTAATTATAATATCTTCTCAACATTAATAGTAATTAGAGGGTAGGGAATAAATATTCAACAATACTGCTGCATTTAAGCTGACAAATTTATGATGTGTACGGTAATGTCAATGATGATGCATGTAACTCAAGGTAATTAAATTGTGCTAGTGCTACTCTGAGTTACCAACTAGGCAAGATAAAAAATTAGCTTGAACACTTTTTCAGCTTGACCCCATGTGGTCGAGCTAATTTCCAGAGTACAAACATCAAAATAAAATATGTAATGATTGTGCAACGTGGTCAGGGAAAGATTTTAAATAAAGGACATTGTCCAAAAGGACATGTGCTCCTACTACATCACGTGTCTTGTTTGGCAGAATTGATTTTGCCTCTTATAACAAAGTTTTGTTTGGCTAATTAGATTTTTATTTTTTACAGATGGATATTAATGAAATCTTTGCAGCTGCAACCAAAGAGATTGAGAACAACAGTTATCCTGGACTATCTGATACAGAGGACTAAGGGTTTGTGTTTTTGATTTGTTGCCTCTACAGCAAGAAAACATAAGATCATTGGCTGTTCAGGGTACCCTAAATAAATTGCTGTGTTTTACTGTGCTCTACCAGAAGATAACTTAGAGAAATTTATATCTTCGTACAACAGGAAAACAAATGAGACTTTGAAACTTGCTGTTTCGAAAAGTCTCACTTCAAAAAGTGGATTTGAACTAAATGAAACATTCTGCTGTCTTCACAATACAAGGTATCATGGGACAAAGGATACTGCTAAAGTACTCGAAGAAAAACTTGCAAAGAGATTCAAGAAGAAAAGTTGTCCCTTTAAGATGCAGGTTAAGAAAATTGAAAACAGTGATGGCTATCCTTTTTTAGTCACATTGCATTGTCCTTCGTCCTCTTTCCCTTGCATCGCTTGTTCTGTCCTGCGATCCAATCTTACCAAAGAACTATCTTCTTCTTTTAATTCTACTTTCTGGTCTACTTGTGACATCTCTGCTCTGGCTAGTAACTATTTGGTAGCGATTTGATCTTGCCAACGTGTACGTAATCTTAATCTCGCAATTTCACTTCTATCCACTGATATTTCAAGTTATCTTCAAACCTTCTTTTTTGTCCTATGTATCAACAACTGATTTATTACTCGTATTTGCTTAGTTTTTCTTCATATGGGAAAAAAAATAAGTATGATTGTAGGCCGTTTCCATTTATTTTCTTTATATGGTGTGTTGAACAGCGCAGATTTGCATCAGAAGTTCTTGTGCCGCCATTCGCATGGTTCGTTTGCTAAAAAGGCTACGGTTTTGAAGAGGGTAAAATTTTAAAAATATTTTAACTCTTTTTTTAAGTTTTTTTACGAATTCATTATTCGCACCCTTCTAGAAATTTTTTGAGTTAGTCTTATTTGATTGAGGTTGCATGTAGGGAAAAAACTAAACGTCCAAAGACTCACCATAAGGTAAGAATTCACAGGAAAAGGCGGCGAGAATGTTTTATTTGTAGCGTCGAAATTTTTTGTCGCTTATATTTGCCTCCTTTTAGTGAGAAGTGTGTCTATGTATTCCTCAGATTTTAAATATACTGAAATATTTTATCTCCAATAATTTACAAAAATACCGTTCTTATATTTAAATGTTGGAGGGAAATAAAAACTTTTTGTCTTAACCAATCATGAGATTGCTGATTACCAGGTTTTACTGGTCCAAATTTCGCGCGTGCGCATGCATAACCAATGGAAAATCCAACGTGCATAACGCAGAACTTAGATGGCTTTTGAATGGAAATTGTTCCGTCAGAATTACCTTTGTTATGTTTAAATATCCGAACGAAATTATAGCCCCAGATAGGGGATGAAACGGAAGTGTACTTAGTTAGGTTATATTGCTATTATATTTATTTTATATTGTATAGTTCTTTTGGTGAAACAGCTACGAGCGCTCGTTTGAAAGTTGGTACTAGTCAAACCTGCTGTTTTGGGACATGAAAAAGTTTTCATTTAAAATCACTTCACCCAATCATAACCCATGTAGCATTGATTGAAAATACGGTTGAATTCTCACCATTTAAAAATTAGGTTAAAAACTACGTTCGATCAAAAACTCTGGCGTAGTGAAAAACCGACCATACACGTACAAATTAAAAAGATAAAAGTCATCAAACGAAGACCATTTCACATTATACATCGGCCACACTGGCTCTTATAATCAGGGATGCATTGTATTATCATCCGGCTGACAAAGCACATTGCACACTAGAAACTCAGACGAAAAGAATCTCTGATTCTCAGGACAAGTATGAACAAGTGCCCTGTATGACTTCTTTGCACTCAACTAGGTATTTTCCCTTGTTTGAGTTCACTATTTCGCTATGTTTGAGTTCACTATTTCGCTATAAATTACGCTTATTTTTCGAAAAATAATACGATAGCTCTCCGATTAATAAGAAGTGATGTAAACCAGGCTTAAAGGTAAAACTGAATTTCCTGATCAAAAGAAATTGATAGTGACCTAAATTGTTTCTCCTATGGATTCTATAGAAAATTTGTGCTTGTTGCTATTAAACGCGATGGTTCCCAAGGATTGAACTTCCGAGTTCGTAGAGCTTTGAGAGTGGTTGAAGCTGGAGCAATATTTCGTAGACGATCGGTGCTCTTCGTTTCCACCTATTGGGAAAAGTGGCGGAAGACGCCTGGTTGCTCGGGTAAACTAACTAATTAAAGTAAACGTAATTAAACGTAAAACGACAGTGTGTCCTTATTGTTGTGCGTCTCTATTGTCTAGCTGTGCTCAGACTTTATACGCTTAAGCTTGGGCTAAGGGAAGAACTAAAAACACAAGTCATTTTCCCTAGCTGCGCAATACAGTGCGTTGTAGCACATGCTATCGTGGTTTGTGGTCGAGACCTTGTTACGCGTTTGTGGGATAAGGTGTGGATAGCTAGTTGGTTATTCATGCATGTAAGAAGCCTGTCCTAAATATAACTATTTGCTCACTCATGGATGTAAATTTATAAGTTTCCTAAAGTTCATCGAATATATCATATATACACTTATAGTAAGTATATAACGCTATTATAATTATAATTAAATCATATTACGGTATCATGTAACACTCGTGAGAATAAAAGTTGAAATCCATCTCATTTAAGATGGTTCTAAATTTATAAGGATAATGTTGTGACGTAATTATCGAAAGGGTTTATTGGTCGAAGCCCGTGTTTGCAACAGGCAAATGCGGAAGTATAGTTCCCTTATCAAAATCGAACTTCGAACAATACCTAATTTCACTAATGTCTTGGAATTTGCACGGATACAGTTATTTTGAAAATTAATTTTCTCATCCATATCGATCAATAGCCAACAAATTGCTACTTCAACGGCAGAAATAATAAGAAAGGCCACAGGCATGGCCATCATTCTAGCAAGTGTGATGGCGTTTGTTTTTTAGGAAAATTTGTGGAAACGAAAACAGGATCCATATAGTTATGCTTTAGATATTATTTCTTTAGAATCTATACTCATGGTCGAATCTCACCAACATTGCAATAGATATTACTAAACCATGTTTTACAATTTTAAATCGAGAATGACAATCCAGGAATTCAAAAATGGCGAATGCAAACAGTCAGATACTTTTTTTACTGGATGAAATAAAATAATAAACTTTATTTTAAGTAGAACCAATGCATATATATGAACAGTTTTTACTTGCTTAAAGGAAAGGGTTATTCTAGATCTTTCCACGAATTCCTTCTTCGTATATTTTGGAAGAGAAGTATTTAAATTTTTGCACTCGATTTTGCATTAGGGCAGTCCTTTGTAGATTTTCGCTAAATGTAAAATGAAAATAAAAATGAAGGATCCTACATGTGCAATTCTTTTTTTTAAACAGGCATCTTCGGATCTTCATGACCCCAAAACGATCCGATTTCGGCAAACGTTGAAAGAAACGAAAATCTAGAACTATAAGTTTAATATGTTGTAAGTCTTTAATTGTAAGTTTGTTTGTGCTCATTGCATCGTGTACCCTCTATATTGCTTGTTACATCGCTGAATATACGTCACCGAAATTGAGAGCATTATTAACGCGTATTATAAGATCGCGTTCTAGAGAAATCGCGGCTATTTAACTGCATGTGGAGGATATATGATTTTATTATATACGTGAGAAGAGGGGAATGCGAATGTTGACCGCAAAATCTTGTTTTTCAGGCTTGATCGAACCAGTTTGATAGGGGTTAACACTTTTAACCACCGAGAGTAAGGCTAGCTGCGTTCCACTTACGCGTTTTTTATACGCACGTACACGTACGGAAAATTTTAAATGCTTTTAAATTTTTATTATTTAAAATCTAGGTCAACTAATGCATACTAAAATACGCAGAGTTAGTTACTTGAGTTAGTTTTAAGGTAACATGTATAAGGATTTAGACTTTAAATTTACGTGCGTGTACGTGCGTATGAAAAACGCGTAAGTAGAAAACAGCCTTTCATAAAAATGAGACTGCACCTTTGAACCTCAGTTTTGCCTACGTGATATATCTCGACAACATTAATGGTCTTGGGTCCACAGAACATGATGTTTCTCCCGGGATCAGTCAATAAGTTTAAATATTTTACACCTATTTGATGGTTCGGGTTTGTATATAAAATGCATACATAATATCAAAAATTCACAACGCGAACTTATGGCTGGTCACGCACTGCAGAGAAAATCAATGCGTTAAAACTGGTCTGCATTTATTTTCTTTATAAGTGCTTTCCTCTGAGATATAAATTGAATTAAAACGAGAAACAGTACAAAGTTATGCACACTGCTTAAAGTTCTGTGCAGTCAAATTTGAAAAATTATTCAGTATCAAACTAAAAAACCAGGCGAGCCATAGCAAAATATTTAGATAATAAAACTCTATTTTTGGGCACATAACACTCGACATTTATTGTTAAGTTTGTATAAAACGTAAATAAATTGACAGATTACTAAAGCAGACTTGAAATACGTGAAATTAATGAAGTTGTAATTGTTTATATAAAATATAGGTAAATTAATAAGTTAAAATGTAAATCTTGCTGTTTGAACCTGAAAATTAAAGAGAACTTTTATTATAATTTTCTCTTTACAAAATATTGAATGCCATGATAAAACAGTATAAAGCGAACTATTCTTCGCAAATAGCAATAAACAGGTGATTTGCAAATGCGGTCATTATTGTCAATAATTTTGAGCCAATAGTACCGATGGCAATGTAAAGCAGCAACCAGCCAGACGATTTATTCATGCTATGAAAATTTTATGTTATTATCATTATTCATCTCCTTAGAAATGCATTGTTTTCAAAGTAAATGAACACCAAATGCAAAATATTAGGATATATAGCATGACTAAATTGTCTGGCATCCTACGTCACTGACCTTATTTGTGTTATGCTTAAACATTGAGTCAATCAGCGACGACCAAAATGCTCGCCTCTTCGTCCAACGCTGCGCCCAGCTTTTGCAGGATAATAAGATGGATAATAATTTGGATTATGATTTGCACCGCCAAAAAAATAATACATTCCTTTTCCTCTGAACATCAGTTTCTGTTCAGGTTTTAAATTGCTAAAATGCATCAAAAATTGTTTTGTAAAAAACTGTATCAATACAAAGTGTAAGAATATATTTAGTTAATGCAGCTTATGTGTGTGCCGCGTCTTTGCCAATTCAGTTGTTTTTTTTCTTCAAAATGATTTAGAGTAATTTTTTTCAATTCAGAGCATACGCTTGAGTCCAGTTTCATGATAGTTCATCTACAGAATTTATCACAAGGCATAGCTATCATCAAACATCTTTTCATTTTCCAATCTTGATAGAAATAAGCTTTTATACCATTCATTTCGGCCGATCGAAAATTCTACGTCTCCATTGCATTTAGCCCAATTTCAGCCGCAAATGAGAACAAAAAAAGAAGAATAAATGAATCGGCATTAATCGAAATAATTTAAACAACAAATCAATCAACAAATTTTAAGGAATCAATACAAGTCATGCATGCATTTACTCTGGCAGCCAAATCATTGTTCTCCAGATCTTCCAAAGATTGCACTTATTTTTTACTCATTGTTCCTAAATTCCAAGAGATCTATAGACATGCAATACAATTCAACTTTTAGCTGGTTTGCTGAAATCTGATAATTATATAAATCTGCTAATATATATATATATTATATATATATATATATATATATATATAATATATTATATATATATATATACACCCATTTGCAAAAACGTTGGCCGCAGATAGATATATAGATAGCTACTCGAAATCTAATTAGAATTGCATACGTTGTGTAATATTATAGAAATCACATGCAATTGTCATGATATGCAATGTTAATTAGACTTCGAGTATCTATCTATCTATCTATCTGTGGCCAACGTTTTTGCAAATGGGTATATATATATATATATATATATATATATATATATATATATATATATATATATATATATATATATCAAATATGTATTTAGAATCATATATGAGTAGAGTGCTCGATATACCAAAGTATAGACCTAGTATAAAGATAAAATAAAATAAACTTGGTTTACTTCATAAGATAAAATAAAATAAAGTTTGTAGTGAATAAAATCTTATGAAGTAAACCAAGTTTATTTTATTTTATCTTTATATATATATATATATATATATATATATATATATATATATATTTATATACATGCGCATATAAGCATACGCTCAACAAATATTGCATTATAACAATTTATTATAAATATGGATACACGTAAACATAATTTTTTCACAAAAACTAATATTATGGTCCGACGCAAAAGTTTGCAAGCGATGTAACGTAAAAGCGCTGTCGCTGTAGTGCAAAATAAATTCTTTTCATGAACAGTAAGGGTATAGAAATGTGTCCATTCTAATATAGATGTAGCTAAAGCCTGACAAAAATTAGTAGGCAAAGTGCTCTATAGCTTTATTGAACACATACTGAAATTTGAAATGTATATGCATGCATTAGCAATAAAGCAAAATAAAACTCAGCAAACAGCAAAAATTCGACTAGATTTTAATACCTCTTCATGTATTTTCGATTGTTCTTTGCGTTCACAATCAAAAACAAGAAAAAGGCGACAAATATGACTGCTGACTTCATGGTAACTTGAATCAAACTAGATAGAAAAAGCTGTTTCGTTATATATGTAATTTGGGTGGATTAGTAAATATAATAACAAAATCAATGATATTATATTGCCAGAAGTTTCTATGATGAGAATTTTAAGTAAAATGTATTGCATTAAAATATTAGTAAATACAGCAGTAAACAAGTACTTACATGAAATTTTGTTGGATACATCAAATGAACACTCAAACGCGATCTGATAAAGCTAACGTCAAACACGAGATTTTACATTGCCAATTGGAATTCAAGAACAAAGATAAAAAATATCATTTATTATAATTATTGGCTGACTGTCAAGGTGAATGCATGGATAAAAGCATTCTTAGAACTCTGCATGCATGTCGCAGCTATTTTAATTGATGTAATCCGGTTTGATTCATTCAACTTTGCTATTTGATATATAATTGTTTCAGGTCATGCTGTTCATTTTCTTTATGGTATTAACAAAGGACGCGACATTGGACGCCACGAAGATGAAAACACTTATAAATTTATAGTTATATGTCGAAACATGTTTGCAATTAAAATATTTCTTAAAATATATATTATTGAAGATATCAAAAAGGCGGTAAATAATTTTGCTCTCAGAAGCCCTTTAAAGGCAAAGATATTAGATCCATCAAACTAATATGAGCATTTGCTATTAAATTAACTATTGCCTTTTAAAGGCAAAAGATATGTCGTGACAAGCGAATCCGCTATCTCGTATAGACGGCGCCTAACGTCTTAATCTCAAGAGCTGACTTCAAAGATGCCAATTATCTTTCTTTAAAACGCTCATCGAAAATATTTTATTTTTTTTCACAATTGATTCTGCTATAATTTTTTCGAGTGTCGTTGTGCTGAAGATTCAACGGGTAGCCTAATTTTAATGGTGAATGGATAAACATTCCAAATTATCACGCACTACAAATACAACACTTTATCCAGTTTGGCTATGACGTTTGGTCACTTTATTTTGACGCTAGTTTGTTCACTCGGAATGATATTTATTAACGCGAGTAAAATTTATGCGTCGGAAGTGGAAATAGATAGCCACGTTGTTTCTAAGGGAAGGGCACGTTTACACAAAATGTTTCATATAGGAGGGAATATACTTAATTAAAAAGGTTAATTGTCCGTCAAAAACCTTAAAGCTTAAAGGGATACAGCAATAAAAATTATCTTAGACTATTTTGAAAGAAGGTCATGTATATTTACAAAATTCGTTTACAGATTTTTGTTATCTTTATTACTTCTCAAGATATTTTCGAATGAAATTATCTTCTATCCGTCATTTTGCACTCTAAAAAAAGATGTGTTTTCAAACACACCAAGGTGTGTTTTCAAACACATAAAGGTGTGTTGTGAAACACACTTTTTTGAAAAAAGAGTCATAGGTGGGTTGATAAACACACCTTACTGGGTCACAGAACACATCTTGGTGTGTACAGAAACACACCCGCCCGTGTCAACTGACACACCTTATGTTAACACACCTTTTTCTGGAAAAAAGGTGTGTTCAGCAAACACACCTTTTTCAGAACACACCATGCAGAGAGCACACCTTGCTTTGACACACCTTGACAGTGACACACCATAGAAGTGAGCACACCATTTTCTAGAGAAAAAGGTGTGTTCAACAATCACACCTTTTTCAGAACACACCATGCAGAGAGCACACCTTGCATTGACACAACTTGACAATGACACACCATACAAGTTATCACACCATTTTCTGGAGAAAAAGGTGTGTTCAACAAACGTTCGTGAAAAACACACCTTTTCCAGAACACACCATGTAGAATGCTCACCTTTCATTGTCACACCTTGACAAAGACATACCTATCTGGCTATCTATAGCACACTATTAGGAAACACACCTTCTTGAGTGAAACAGCTTTACCTTTTTGGTTACCATACAGTGGCAATATTTTATTCACAATTAATCACAAAGTCTTCTACATTTGAACTATCTTTTTCAACTATATAAAATTTTCCATTAGATTTAATAATATGCAAAACCCCATGCAAGGGTAAGTTTTGAATTACTACAACAAGCCTTTCATTAGTTTTATGAACTTGGTAGCACATAAAATGTCTGTGGAAAGCAGATGTCTCCAAAACTCGAACAACAAAAAATTTTCTATCTTCCCAAACAACGATTTCTTCCACTTCACCATAAACCGGATAATCTCTCTCACCAATCTCATCCATTTCCTGCAGTCGCAGAGCACATCCTGGCTTGTAAATTATGCCATGAATCTCCACATGCCTAACATGCCTAAAAAATTAGATTACAATGCAATAGTTCATTTGATAAACATAAGATAGTATGATTCATCTCATCCCAAATTCAGTTTTTGCCTGATAAATCACAGTGATATTAAGAGATAGTTCAGTTGATAAATAGTAACTAGATTGAATATTGTAGTAGTTAGTCCTTTATTATGTCATATAAATGATATAATTTTTATTCATAATTACATTAAAAACAACTTGGCAATATTAAACTGATAAATATTACCTGCTTCCTTTACATGGCTGTGCCAGTTGATCAACACTAGCAGCTTGAGCTATCATGCCAAAATATGGATGGCTGTGCAAATCAACATTGTGATCGCCTTAAACAGACATTAGGAAACACATGAAAAAATAGATTTAAATTGGGATAATAGCTGTATATGCATATTTATACATATGTAAAATAACAAATTTTTATAACTATATATGCATTATTTACCTAATCCAACAACATCACCACTATACAGGTAATTAGTCAAGGGCTGCTTGGGAGAACTCAAAAGGTTCCAGCACATGTTCCTAAATAAAAAACAATTACACCATGATTAGTATGATAAATACACAATTCTGTAAAAAATGTATAATTGAAATACACAAATCTACACATTTATTCAAAATATATATAATTATTCAATAAGCCTAGAGTGATAAAACACAGCTACTTTAGAGGGGTGGAATACAAGTCAATCTAATTGTGCACAATGATTTTAAAAAATATATACCTTTGATGGGAAAATGCAAGTGATTTGGGGACATTTTTAAAGTTCTTGGTAATTGAACTTTTCAGGAAACTGTGTTTAGCCTCAAATCTCATGGTCCAGATATTTCTAGGTGGCCCAAACCTACAACGCAAACATTTAATTATAATCATCAATAATTTAATAGGATGATGTTCTCTACACTCAAAAATAATTTGGAAGTAACTTTTACATCAATAATTTTTTTACCTAACAATTTCATCAGGTATATGTATAAGATAATGCATTTTTGGAATTATGGATGCATTAGGGTAGAGATTTTTGAACATTTTGTGATGATCATTAATCATAACTTTCAAATAGGCAGCATCAGCCTTTGTTATTCCTGGAGAAGTACAAATTTGAACAATATTCCAAAGTTTCAGCAAACAATGCCAGTTTTCCAGTTGCTCATCCACTTTATCACCAATCATGATTGGCAAGAACCTGAATAAACACCACATTTGAGATGCTGCAACAAAAAGACTCAGGTTAAAATAGCATTACATAGTCTACATTTGGTAGTTCAAGACAATTAGGCTGCATAAAGCAAGACATATAAATTAGTTAATACTTTCCCAATGACTGCAGTGAAAGAAAGGGTTTTAAAAGTATATGTACCTGATTGTTTAAGCTTAGCTTCAGTGACACCATTGATTGTTTCCCTGGTAATTGCAGTTAGCTTATTCTTTTTGTTCATGTATCCATAATCAAAGTTTTCAATCCTCCGATTTAACTCTTTCTTTGAGTGTGATACATCTGCTTCATCAATCAGATACTTCAGCATCAACTTTGTTTCATAGGGTACCAAGCCTTCCAACAATATATGCATTATATCTTCAGGCATGCAAATGCAAACATCAAAATGTTGCACCTTATCCAACACACTTAATCTGTTTACCCCATAGGTTGTGGAAAGTTGTTCACGGATGTTTAATGCATTATCTTCATCTTCAATACATGCACATATTTGTCTGTGATTATCCAAATCTCTTTCTGAAAAGTCTTCAGATAAAAACTAAAACAGAAAGGCAATCCAAATGCACATTGTGTAAATTGTAAAAATGCCCTTATTGCTCAGCAAAATATCTCCCAAATTACAGTCAGGGAAAAAAGCTATTTCTTCAAATTATAGCATATTTACCTTATTGTTGGTCTCCAGTCTTGTTCCCATACAATGCCTACAAATTCGCAATGCTCCTCCAACACCTTCCTTGAAACCACTGACATAGTTGCTACCAAGTGTATCTCCAGTCCACAATAACAGATCACCTCGAAACACACGGGCAACACCATTTATGGTAAAACAGTGACCATTAGCCTAAAATATAGGAAGCTATAATGTTGGACAAATTTGCATACTAGAGGAATTTTGTCTTTTTTTTTTCTTATATACATACAATACTGTAATGCATAAAGTAAAAATACCTTCGCCAAACAATTGACATCCTCAATGAATGGCATCAAAAGATTATCGATCCCAAATGACTTGATGTCTTTTGTTTTAGCAATAGCTATAAGTTGTATACTGCGGATGCTTGATCTAAACATTGGCCTTATATTGCCCAGCACAAAGTAAAAGACACCTAAAAACAAATTTTATATGTGATTGGGCAGCTAACATGCTTATGAAATAAGCTGTTCATAGATTCATAGACATAATATAAAGACACATAACATACACACCAATTTTATGAATCTTTGCTTTTGAACCTAAAGGATTGGCTATTTCTAGATCATCATAATAGCCCAACAGCTGCAGGGCATCACTGTGGAGGGAGAATACTGGATGACTCTTGAAAAAATCCCCATCCATTACATCTCGAAGAACACCATCACATGAAAAATGTGGATTTTCAACTTCCTTTAAAACATCTGGGTTTTGAAGAAGTGCCTAAAATATATGATCAAAAAAATGTTTGAAAAAAATATTAGCAACAAATGGATGCATCCAGTGATTTGA